CTCTTACCTATTGCAGTTTTCATTGAAGTGGCAATACTGGACTGGGCTGGCTCCACGTTCACACGCTCAAGAATCGAGTCTGACAGGTCCACCTCGTCTCCCAACCTACGAGACTGGGCCCGTGTAAGCACACAAGCTGGGAACACATGAGGGTAAGCCTGTACTAAAATGTCGTCCGTAGGTTCCAGGGTAGGTGTGTCCACCACCTCTAACATGGGTGTTACATGGCCACCGGCAATGTCATTCCCAAGCAGAAATGTGACTCCCTCCACCGGCAGAGTTGGTACCACGCCAACACGAAAACGTCCCGACACTAGTTTGGACTTTAACCAGACCCAATGCAGTGGTACAGACATGGGGGTTGCTCCGAGTCCTTGTAGAAGGACGTTTGACCCACAGTATGACCCATGGGACCAGGGCAGGCTGTCTGCTAGTACTAAAGACTGCGCTGCCCCCGTGTCACGCAGTATGGTGACGCTCATTTGGCCAACTGGTTCCCCTGTAAGGGACACATTCCCACCTGACACAAACGGAGCATACACCTGATCTGGCTTCTCCCCACCCTCGTTTGTATTATTGCTGTTTGTCTGAGACATGGAATGTATTAAGTTTATGCTTTTCGATCGCACCGGTGACGGTGCTTTCTTGTTTCTCAGAACCGGACACACCGCTATGAGGTGACCGGGACGATGACAATAAAAACACTCACGTGTCTCCTGTGCAGATCTGGGGCCTGTTTCAGAAAGGAGGTTAAGTGAAAACTCTGAGTATGTTAACCCTGAAATGAGGGAAACTCTGAGTTTTCTGTTTCAGAATGGGAGGTATGTTAAACCTGAGAAAGCAGAGTAAGTCAAGCCTGTTTCAGAAAGAGAGGTAACTTATACTCAGAGTCAGTTACCATGGCAACTTACTCTGTGAACCTAACCTGGTCGGGAGCAGGTTTTCTTCGGGAAACCCAGAGTTTATTTCGTCTCCTCCCCTTTTTTAAAGAGGAAGTGGTATTTAATCACCTCATTCATTCTTTCGGTATTCATTCATTGCGCACATTTCAGTCACGCAGAGCGCATCAAATCAAGTGAATGAAATGGCATGTCCTTTTATGGACGATCCTGTGGATGAAGAGGCTGCATTAATCCGTAGGGAGTTGCATTTACGTCGGGAGAGGATTTTGAGACCCAGAGTGGATTTTTTGTCATATCCATATTCATTTTTATTTGAGCGGTACCGTTTTTCTTTACAGTCAATAAGATACATCCATAATCTCATCCATCCTTACATCAGAAACATCAGCCATCGCGGCCGTGCTCTAACATCCGAGCAGATGCTTTGCGTTGCATTACGTTTCTTTGCAAATGGTAGTTTTCTGTATAACATTGGGGATGCAGAACATATCAGTAAGGCTACTGTTTGCAGAGTTGTAAGGAAAGTGTGCCTCTTAAGCGCACACTTAAGCGCTCTTAAGCGCTTTCTCCGAATTTTTGTGCTGTTTCCTGGGCACAAACCCGTGAGAGCCATCAAAGAGGAGTTTCACAGGATTGCAGGTCAGTGATGTATAAATCGGTTTAAATGAGGCTAACCTGATAAATGACGTTCAGTTAAGAGCATATTGCTGCGACCCCTGGAAGTAAACTAATAATAGAATTCCTTTTAGGATTTCCGAATGTGGTTGGATGCATTGATGGCACACATATTCCCATCATTGCACCTTCCGAAAATGAAGCGGACTATGTCAACAGGAGGTCCATCCACAGTATTAATGTGCAGGTACACTGAAAGCCTACTGTTTCTAATGGTCAAAGACTACATCACAATACTATAACATGTCTCATTCTTTGCATTGTCAAGATCATATGTGATGCTGCACATCTCATTACAAATGTGGAGGCCAAGTGGCCCGGTTCTGTTCATGACTCACGAATGTATCGTGAGTCAACGCTGAGCAACAGACTGGAAACTGGTAAGTAAATGCATGTATTTCAATGTATGCACTACACACTTACTGGGGAACTTCTATGCAGCTCTAAAGCAATGTGAACTTTCTTACAGGAGAGATTGATGGCTTTCTGCTGGGAGATAGGGGTTACCCATGCCGACCAACACTAATTACCCCTTACCCAGAACCTGAACCAGGCCCCCAGCGCCGCTTCAATGTGGCACACTGCAGGACGAGAGCCCGGGTGGAGATGACCATAGGCCTGTTGAAAGCACGTTTCCAGTGCCTACGTCACCTCAGGGTAACCCCTGAAAGGGCCTGCGACATTATTGTGGCATGTGTTGTTCTCCATAATATTGCCATAATTAGAGGGGAGCAACACCCTGCCCTACAAATACAAGACCCAGAGGAAGACCCCATCAACCCGGCAGATTTCCAGGAGGGAAGGGTAGTCCGGGATATGATATGCCGAAATGTCTTCACAGATTAATACACATTATATCCACCACCACAACCAACCAACCACAAAATAAAATAAAAATGAATAAACACAAAATCACAGCAATTTATATGGTGTTCTTTATTTCCTAAACATAAAAAAAAAAATAGAATTTAATATATTTTCAATACTTAGAATTCACCTGTGACCATGCACTCACCTCTAGCTTTAGTTTCAGAATCTCAATTCCCAGATCTGCCTTTTGGATCTGGCGGTCCAAGTATACAAGTTCTTTGCTGTTTTTTTCTATCTTTTTAATAAGAAGAAGTCTATATAACTCCTTAACTGGCAACTGAAAATACAGTAGATTACAGTTACATCATGTAGTTCTAAAATTCTACAATATTAAACTGTGGCATTTACTGAAAAAAAAAAATCGCTGAACTGTGTTCATCTGTGCACCAGAAGTTGATGGACCATCCTCTTGCTGTTCTTCCACACTCTGGGGAGAGATAAAAATACCTGTTTATACTTAGATTTAAACTTAGATTCTATAGGCTACTCCACATAAAAAAGGTGAAGAAATGTGAATGTGTAGATTGTTTGATAGACACATAATATTAACATTACCTCTGTAGGCATCTCTGTGGCAGCAGAAACTGTTTCTTCATCCCCATCATCCTGTGAAGATGAGCATTTGAGTACACTTTATAACACTATTTGTAATAATTTCTGGTGTATTGAGTAGGCTACTTACAACTGCCTGTGGTTCTGTTGGGACAGGAGGCTCCAAAAGACTAATTTTACCATCAGAATCTGTTGGGACCAACGAAAAACCCACCCCAAAGTAAAATAAATGGAAATATCACAAATAGCCTATATAAAAACACAACACATAGGTAGACCTCTTACATTTTATGAAGGCACTTAAATCTTCTGGAGTGACTGGCTCTGATGAAGTCCCTCCAGGAATTCCCTCAGCCATTGGCCTTCCAGCATTCAGGCTCAGGGCCATCTCCTCTGCATTTGTCAGAGGTGGTGGTGCAGGTCCTCCCCCCCGTTTTGCGAGCCTCTGCCTTCTTTCTGTTGGCTGAGTAGTCAAATGAGAATGAACATTTAGACCCATGTCAAAAATGCTGCTGCACTGCTAGACACTGGATGCTATTTAGTTATTTATATGTCAAATGTTTGTAAAGTCAGGTAGACTACAACCATGATATGTTCAAGCCTTACCTGATTGAATTATGTTTTTATATTTCATTTTCAGCTGCTGCCATGTTCTTTTAATGCCTGCAGGATTGCACCTACATGAAAATTAAAATTAGGTTGAATAACACACTGTTCTTCCAGTTTCACTTCTGATATTATAACAGTTGGGCAAGTCACTTATATTACTAACTACAACTGGCTTCTTCAACAGTGTAATAAGATTAATGTAATAATGACTATCTCTAGAAAGTATTGGTCTACTTATTACTAATTACTTTCTAAATCCCATATCAACCTCAACCACTTGAACAATACAAGGAGAGACAAGAAACTGCACTTTTAATGCTTTCAAATAAACATACAATTGCATGAATTATTCTTGAAAAAATATATCTTTTAAAATTTGATGTTAAATCCACTATTGTTTTATACAGAATTGCTTTATAGTTTATGCAGCATTTAATGCAATTACATCAGATTTTACTTTAAATTACGGAATTAAATTACAGTTTTTAGATTACATAGAAATTAATTACACACAACACTGTATAACAGTAATTCAAATGTAAACTTACGCATTGACTCGAGCAGCTATTTTCTCCCAAGCTAACTCTCTGTCCTTCGCCGCGGCAGCCGTGTTGCTTTTTTTTTAAATATATGTTCGTACTCTCCATATGCTTGCATAAGCACATCCAGTTCTGCTGGTGAAAAATATGAAGACCTCTTTTTGTCTGACGCTGTTGCCATGGTGACTCGTAATATCTGCGCTCCATTGATAATGGCTTTTTATAGTTGTGGTGCACGCGCTTAACTCAGAGTAGGTCAACTCAGAGTTGATTGAACTAACTCATTTCAGCTGTTCTGTAACCGAAAACTCAGAGTTTCCCATCTCAGGGTAAGTCAACTCAGAGTTCAAGTTTTAACTCAGAGTTGGTTGAACCTCCTTATTGAAACAGGCCCCTGTTTATTTTGCCATGTGCTCTGTGTTGTTTTGTCGGTGCTGCCTCCAGACACCTCCCATGGCCACACCCCTAATTGGCGCACAGCTGAGGACGATCTGGCTCGTTACCGCCAGTATATCAACCCTGGCCGTGCAGACCTGAGTTGTCAGTCTGTATCGTCTTCTGCCTTGTTGTTACCACCAGCAGCAGCAGCAGCGGCGGCGGCGGCGGCGGCAGCGGCTAAAACAAAAACTAACACTGCTACAGTCTCCTGTGGTCAAGCTTTTGGGTCCTAACCTTGAACTCTCTTTTTAGGAAACGTCGAACCAGTTGCAACGTAAAGCCTAGTTTTTGCTTCTGCGTTTTTAGAGCGACGCAGACGCAAGAGCCCCTTGCGTGTCTACTTTCTAAAACAGTCGCATCATAGACACACATGAAAAACACTTGACACTTGATTTTTTTTAATGTTGCCCTGTTCAGTTTCTGAAAAGTGTAAAAGATTCACAAAAAGATGAGAATCCGAACATGTGAAAAGCAACATGTGAGAATGGTCGATGTATGTGTGGCTGTAAAATTCTTCATCCTCAAGGGGGAGACATTGACAAGCTAAACATCCAGCTGTTATTTATGAGAGAAACATAATAATAATAAGAACGGTGACCACAGTGCCTATCACTACGAACCTGTACCCTTTATTTTTTAATCGCAGGATATTAGACCACTAATGTCAAATGCATCATCATCGAAATTAACCATATTTACCATCTTCAGTGAAATTGACAGTGAAGGTGTTCATTAAAATATGAAACTTTTGTACTTTTATTATTGCATACAGTGTATTACAGAAACAATTACACATTCATAATTTGTTAAAACTGCTATACACATGTATAATAATGTAATGTGATGAATAACTGATGTATATTCTATAAAGCTGTTTTATCATTCTAACAGTGTGCAGCTGTGTGTTTGCCTGTGCGTACATCGCACACACATTCAAACTCTCTGAGTGTGATGTGGTTTTGCAGCAAAACGAGAAAGCTCCTGCAAAATGAGAAGGTGAGAGAGTGACAAAGCTGGAAATGAAAGGAGATCCAAGCTTTTGCACCCAAGGGCCACTCTGCGTCTGAGGCCTGGAGAAGCCACGCGTATTTCACTCAATGTCTTTTAAACGCACAGTGGAATTTTTGTGGGGGGGGGGGGGGGGTACTGCCCCACCTCGACGACGATTAAAACATACATGCAGTAACTTCAACCAACGTGATCTCCAAAACCTGTTCGTAAAAATGCATACGAAAATCTTAAACATACAAATTCGTAACAATACATACGAACTGGCGGTGGTTAACCACGCCCCTTGAGTGAACAACATGGCTATGTTGGATTCTTGAGTGAATGTCTCTCTGCCATGTTGGATTCTTGAGTGAACGTCTCTCCGCCATGTTGGATGTTTTGAGGGGGTTAGGGTTAGTATTGTATTCTTTCAATTTAACATTGATTTCTCGTTAAAAATGCAATCATTTTACATCGTTAGACTTCACAAAGTGTGTTTACGGGGCGCAGGTCCCCATTCACTTTGAATAGGGTGACGTCATCAGTTGCCAGTCCGTATTTATTTAGTATGCATCACTACGAATTTGTATGTTCAAGATTTTCGTATACATTTTTACGAACAGGTTTTGGAGATCAGGCTGCTTTAACACACACATACAAAATGCTTCAATATACCACAAATGCATGCACGCTCACGGCCACAAAAGGGCTCTTGTCCTAACAGGCAGCCCAAGTGACAGACACTCTCATTAGTCCCAGGCTTTGATTCCTGTTTATTTTCTGCCGTGCCTCGTCACTCAGCCCAGTGGTCCAAATAAAATAAGCTCCCTCACTTTTGTTATTCCCTCCCTCTATCACGCACAGTGTGATTCGCCCTTCACTACCCCACTTTCCTCTGAAAGTTCTCAGCAATTTTTCTCGAGCAGAAGGAGGGATTTGGTATGAGTCACAGATTCCTGGGCCACGATTCATAAAGTAACATCTGCTTCTAGACGCTGGGGGCGGCTCCCCTACCTGGCCACAGCCCAGCGCTGTATGCTGGCCCAGATGCATATCAGGAAACGGTCCTGTGGATGTGTTCAGTGTGCAATCCATATCCAATAAGACGACTTTGGGAGTAAAACATGGTGATGGCAGTTCTGCCATTTTGGGTTTTGGGGTCCTGCAAAGGCTGTATCTGAAAGTAATTCTTGGTCCCATTGATTTTGTGACAATAAATGTAGAAATTATATAAATATTAAAATGAAATGTTTTTGAGTACACAATAAATTTACTAGTTGGTGTTATACTGTGGAAAAAAGTAAAGATACCGTATGACATTAGCTAAAATAAATAATGCTTTCCCTCCTTATTTAACATTCATATCGTATAGTTGAGAATGTAATTATGAACATTTACGTTGATTAAAAAACAACAACTTCAAGATAATGTAGTTCTCTCATAGCTACAATTGTTAACAATTTGCCGAGCAGTTTCGTAAAAACCATTCAGCTAATCAGGAATCAGGAAACATTTATTGCCAAAATATGTCATACATACAAGGAATTTGACTTGGCGGTTGGTGCATAACAGTAGACAGTATAACAATAGACAACAAGACAGCAGTGCACAAGTAATAAAATGAAATATTAATGCTATGGGTTAGTAGAATAAGGCTATGGGTTAGTTTAAAATAAGTTAAAAATTAAAAAATATTTTAAAAGTTAAAAAATATTTAAAGAAATAAAAAAATTAAAAAATAAAGTGCACTAGCGAACAAGTGACAAAAGTGACGAGTGAAAAATGACAGTAAAGGGACGTGTGCAGAAAGAAAGTGACCGGTGGAATGTCAGAGTCAGTCAGTGGGGGGCTAATCAATAGAGCCACGTACTATTAGTTTCCATCTGCTTTTACAAATCCTAAGAAACATTGTATAAATGATACAAATCTACATTTTACTATATGGCGAGATAGTCGGCTTACAATGGATGTTTGCGATCCTGGAGTAAGGCCTCCAAGTTGGTATAACCGGTGGTTCCCCATTCCTCCCATTCTGCAGACATTGTATGAAAGCAGCATTAGGCCTCAACCAGAACACGGTGCTAAGGTAGTACCATAAGGGGTAAAGTTGTATTAATAGTAGTCTGTTTAATGTTTTGTTGAAGAAAAGATTACCCCTCAGTTGTTAATAACAGCCGATATCTTCATGACGCATACAGGTGAGTCCAAATAGAACGGTTGCGGCAAAAATAAATAATCAGATTGCCTGGCTGACGTGAATCAGCACAACTTAAAATGTGCTAAGTGGCACGGAGTGTGCAATTAGCTAATGCAACTGGGCAGCCATTTTGGGTCCAACCGAGTCTGCACAAGCAGAAGCCGTTATGATGATGCTGCACTTTCTCGTCACAAAGCTGATTTTGTCTTCTGGCACCTTATGTAGCTTCCTGACTTAGGAAGGACAGCCACACACACACACACACACACACACACACACACACACACACACACACACACACACACACACACACACACAGAGTCAGCCTATTGATCGCGTTTCCTTCCCTTGGTGGGATGTATGGATCAAACACTAATACATGAATCACAGTTCAGGGAAACCTAAAGCCATCTTATGGAGATGAGGAATCTCACTGATACTGAGTTCCTGACTGTACATCAAAAAGTCCTGAATAAGACAAGATCACAAGGAACACTGGGGCCTCAGGATTGAAAGGGTGTTGGTGTTTCCATGGAGACGTTACTCACCAATTCTACTAGTGTCTTAAATAACTGAGATTTAGAGAGGGCACGTTATGGCACTTTCACATTTTTTCGCTCAGATTTAAATGTATTTCTTTACAAGTCTACTATCAGAGGCCCACGGCTACA